ACCTAACACCCTCCAAATAGGGTGACAGAAGGTCAGTATTCTCCAAGTGAACCTAACAGTGCAGCTTTTAGGAAAAGAGCAGTGCTACTGTTTAACGTGTATGGAACAAAAGATGGAGGTTGAAATATATTATTGAAAGATTAGCTCTAGAACAAAAGGCCATAATAACTACCAGGAAATCGGAGAGAGAGGTGAAGAGTAATGTTAGTTAAATCTTCATCAATCTCGGCAGTGAGTTGATGACGCCTTAAGTTGATGATTCAATAATTCCTTCCCACAGATGAGAGAGCTCTCAGAACTAAAATGGGAAACAGTTAAAAGTGCCTGAAGGGAGAAGTGAGTTGGGACTGGAGTTACATTATACATCTCTCTGTGATTTATTTTTTAAGCCTTACATTGTATTAAAAAATAGGAGAAAGAGAGAAAGGGGAGGTATTGCGGAATAAAATTGACCAAATTGTTATATGGTGTGCACGTACAAATATGTAACAGCAAATTCTGCTATTGTATATAATTATAATGGACCAATAAATTTTTTTCAAATGCTATGTAGGAATAGGAGAAATTGTTAGGAAGCAATTATAGATCCTCAAACTTACTTTTGTCTTTGTATAAATTAATAAATACTTGGGTGATTTGGGGAAGGGGAAAAACTCAAAATAGTCTTGTGGGTAATAAAATGTAGAGTCCTCCTTTCCATTCTTGTTGGAATCAGGGTAACAAGTTGATGCTTGACATGTAGCCTGCAGGCCCCAGATCTTGGGAGAAAACTTGCCAATGCAAGAAAAGCTCCCCATTGTGAGGGTATTGCTGGAGGTATTTCAGCCTTTCAGGAAGGCTCCCCCCTTTTAATGAAATCAGTATTTTTTTTATAACTTTATTTATTTTTATGTGGTGCTGAGTATCGACCCAGGGCCTTGCACATGCGAAGAGAGCGCTCTACTGCTGAGCCATAACCCCAGTCCCCTGGAAGACCTCTTAATAGAATAAAAAGCATTATGGATCTAGACCTAGGGTTAAACAAACAATCAAAAAAACCCCTCAAGTTCTAGTTGCAGTTGACACAAACAGAGAAGCCTTTAGCAAACTGTTTGCAGGAGAGATTACCTCTTTGCCTTACAGGGTTTTGAGAGTGACAAAAACTTTATAGTACTTTGTGCCATTCTCAAACATAAAGCTTATCATTGTTAGTGATACTGTTTGAAAATGTGGGTATGTTTGGGGACAATCAAAATATATCTTTTATTTATTTGTATGTTGGGGTTGGAGCAAAGGCCTCACACATGCTAAGCATGCACTCTATCACTGAGCAATATCCCCAGTTCATGTGCATCAAAATCAACAATAATAATAGCAATGGATTATAACCTATTAAATGTTGAGGCCATACTGATATAAATGAGTGATAGGGAAAAGAAAGCCCTTTCTTATTGTAGAATACCAACCAAAAACTGTAAAAGGAATTCCAGTGCTAAAAAGTAGTAATATTTAAATTAAAGGTAAATTCACAAATCCCTTTCTTTTGAATACAGGCAATACTGAAAGGTAAGATGTTACTGATCTAGTTTTTATTGCTAGTTTATAAAGATGAAAGCTAGTCCCCTCTAAAGTCTCTACTGCCCAGGTTGTCAACATTCAGGTAGAGATATAGTATAGAGGCAAAATAAGATAATTTAAAACCAGTTCTCTTAATCACTACATACAGAACACTTTGGAAAGAGAAAATTGGGTTTATGATTTGCTAATGGTCATTTGTAGAAGCTGAAGTTCTAGAATCATGCATGTGACCTTAGTCACTGGTGGTGCTGGCTGTTTTATCCATGACAAATAGAAGCTCATTTTGTCTTTAAATGGAAAAAATGTATTGGCATGTTCTTTTTAAAAAATATATATATATATATATTTTTTTTTTGTTAGTTGTAGTTGGACACAATATATTTTATTTTATGTGTTGCTGAGGATTGAACTCAGGGCCTCACACGTGCTGGGCAAGCATTCTACCACTGAGCCACAACCCCAGCCCCTGGCATGTTCTTTAACAATCCTCTTTTTTTTAAAAAAAGAAAAATCTGGAGAATTAAAGTTACTGATAGTGTAAAGCAGTAAAAACAAATCCAAAATCCCACAGGCTTTATGCCTTTGAGGGGGCGCGAAATGTTAGTGGGTTGTTTTTTTTAAGGACACTATTTTCAGGAACTATACAGCTCCCTTGGAAAAACTGAAAGAAAAATTACACTGAATTTTTTTTTTGAGTGCTAGAATCCCTGCTTTAGAGGCACTCCATTATTCTTTTAGAGCCTGTTAGTCATGCATAGAAACAGTCATAAGTGGCCTCTTCAGTGGCATTAATACCATTTGGCTGAGTAGTAGGTTAGTGAATAACTACCCAAGTTGATTCTAAAAGGTGTTCATTTAATAATTCACAAGTACTTAGTGTACTTACCCAGCCTGACCATTACAGCACTGCTGCTTTTAAACTATTCTGTATAAAGCATTTTGTGGTGAAGAAGATCCTCCAGGGGGGCTGGGGTTGTGGCTCAGTGGTAGAGCACTTGCCTAGCACATGTGAGGCACTGGGTTCGATCCTCAGCATCACATAAAAATAAATAAATAAAGGTATATGTGCCCAACTACACGTAAGAAATAAATATTAAAAAAAAAAGAAGATCCTCCTTCAGAAATTCTTTGTCTTTGGGTGTATACATGTCAAAAGTATTTTAAGTCTTTTAAGGAGACTTTTTAGTTAGTAGTGGTGGCTTTGGAGAGATTTTAAGTGGTGATTTTCAGTTCAACACCTCCTGAAACACATATTTACTATGATGAAAGTAATCTAAAGCAAAATACTAATAGTTCTTTCCGCAGAGGGAAATAAGGAAGATGTTACTTCCTCCTCTCAATACAATCAAGCAGAGAAATTCAGATTGTAGAGTTTTTCATAATACTATCAAAATCWTATATTTTTAGTTTCAGAAAGGCTGGTGCCTAACTCGATTTCTTTGAAAAAAAAATTTGAACTCCTCAGGGAGTTTATAACACTTTGCACACTTCTGAGTTTATAAATGCCTGCCTTTTGACTTAATGATAGATCAGTTCAGAAAGTCGTGGCATGCTTCTTGTTTTAGTGTGCTTAAAATAAAACTCAGAGGAAAAAAAAAAAGAATGCCTACATTTCAGTGGGCTAAATTTGTATCTTGGCTTTTGGTCCTACTGACTCCCTTGTTTTCTGGCTCTTTTAGTGACAAAGTGACCTCTAGCCCAGTCACTTATGCCCAGAGTAACTCCCTGGAGTGAGGTCCTCTCCAAGTAGTTCCCAGCTTTTTTTAAATCTGAGAACTACCCATTAAAGACAAAAACATTGGCTGACCACATGATATTGTAGTACTTGTACTTTTAAGTATTTGAGAACTGTATAATGATGAGAATAAAACAGATTTGTTTCTTATCATTTTGGCAGAATCTACAAACATTTTAAGAGCAGAAGTATATATGGGCAAAATGCCCCCCCCCCAGTACTAGGATACAAAACGGTGGCCTGTATGCTAGGCAAGCTCTACCACTGAGCTAGCTATATACTCAGCCTGTGCAAAATATTATTTGTTTAGCCTACAATGTTTGGTACCCACATGGGGTTAATAACCTTTCTTGATAATTCTAATGCCCTACTGCTCATAGAATTAGAACCATCAGTCTATGGRGTCAAAGTGAAGCTTATAGACCAATCATTTAATCATCTGAGTCAAATGTCCATTACCCCTTTTTAATCTGCCCTCTTGTTCCCTAAGAAATTGGGGGATCATAGACTGTTCCTAGATCTTCCAAATTAAAACAGAAGTCCAAGGATTATTCAAGCAAGTAACATCCCTCAATTTATATGAATATTTGTCTATTTTCTGACTCAGTAAGATTGTGGAGATTTTGACAAATATTCTGGTAAACCAGGGATAATACATGAAGATCATGATGGTCTGTTAAAACTGTAGTCAAGCGGGATGTGGTGGTGCACACCTGTAATTCCAGTGGCCAGGAGGCTGAGGCAGAAGGATCCAAAATTCACAGCCAGCCTCAACAATTTAGTGAGACTCTGTCTCAAAAAATAAAAATGTCTGGGGATGTGGCTTAGTGGTTAAGCACCTCTGGGTTCAATCCATGGTACCAAAAAAAAACCCAGAAGAAACAATAACAACAACAAAAACTGTAGTTAAAAGATGAAACTGTGCCTACTCCTGCTTGGTTAACCTTTCCCTGTTTTCTGGTTATATGGATTAAAGGGTAAGGTGATAGGATAGATTTGAGAGAGGCATCTACATCAGAGCAAGAATCAGAATGTATTATTTCTACATTCCTTGTAACCCTCATAGATATCCTTTGGGTCAAAGCTACATAGTCTATCAGGAGAAGATCAGGAATAAATCTTCAAATGCAAATCTGTGCTACTGAATGGATAACTTTATTCTTAGATGAGGGACTTGCTTCTATTCCTTCTCTCTGACAAAATGCTGTCATCTCATTGTTCTTTTTCTGTTGTACCCTTCCAAGTAGGGAGGATAATGCATAAGCTGACTGCTACCTAAGCATGTCCAAACATTTGGATAAATCCTACTTTACAATTTAAAAAATGTAYGAAAAATATAAATAGAGGGCTGGGGCTAGGCTCCGTGGCAGAGCACTTGCCTAGCATGTGTGAGGCACTGGGTTCAATTCTTAGCACCACATACAAAAATTAATAAAGACATGCTACATCTACAAACTAAAAAAATAAATAAATACAAATAGAGTCACATTGTATGCAAGTTAGAATTCAAGGCAATATCTCAAAAATGTTTAGTACATATAAATAGAGTGTTAAATCAGGTGACAAGTCATAGCTAGTAGTTTTGTGTTCTTAAGTAAAATTAACTAGTGTCCAATGGAATTTTACCAACCATCAACTATTGCATTGCAAACAGTGARTTTTAACTTTTTTTTTAAACATAGGGAAGAAAAGTTCCTCTGCATGGAAAATGACACTTTTCAATATCAATCCGGTTGCTCGGGCATACTGTCTGATAACATTAGGGACCAAAATGCTAAATTCTGTCTTCAGTTTCTATTATGTGAAATTTTTTATACATATATACCGAGTTCCTGAAGTGGCCTTCTATCAATCCCAGGTGAGATGGAGTCTTCACTCTACTTTTACATAGGACAGAACAACTTCCTCAGGGTTGTGTTATTATTGTTATTTACAAAACAATTGATTCTTYGTGCAGCTGAAAAACTTCTTGATGTCTAAGGTTCTCTGAGGACAAAGAGAGATTTTTAAAAGATTGCCACTTAAAATATAAAACCAAGGCTATACTTTGGTCATCTTGCAAATTAACTTATGTGAAATAATTGATTTTGTTATTAAAATGTCCTTTGTCATAGAGAGGCCCGTGATAGTGCAAATTGTATTGTAATTCATTACAAAGGATGGTTTTAAAACTCTTATGTTTTATAATGCTACTTATTTACTAAAGACAACTACAKATTTACTGAACTCATTTTTAGTTGGCAAACATTGATATTTTAATCTTTCCTGGTGAAAGTTATATAACGCTATGCCTATGAAAGTATGCCAAAATGACACTATGTCATTCTTTGCAGTAGCGTGGATGGCTCTGTGCACCATGATTGGGAGACAGTCTAGCATAATGATATGGGCACAGACTCTGGRTCAACTACCTTGGTTCAGACCCTGACTATGTTGTTTGTTAGCAAGTTGCTTAACCTTTTTTACCCTCGTTTTCCTTATTTGTAAACTGGGAATATTAATAGTACCTATATTATAATATGATTTTTAAGGATTTGATAAAATAATGCATATGAATACTTTTATAATACCTAACACAAAGTGAATGCACATTGGCTTTGAGTAGTACTAGATGTTATTATTATTAATATTTCAACTGGTTCTGAACATAATGAGATTTTTTTTTTCTATCAGTTTTAAATACTTCATTTAAGTAAAAAGAAATCAGGGGTGATTTCATCTTATACTGAATGTAGTAGTTTACATGACTATTGAAATAAACTTGCATGTTTCTTCTCCTTAGATAATTTTAATGATCTGGAATGTTCTTAATGTCCTGACTGGGTATTTTCACATCGACTTTAAGACTGAAYGCTTTTTATGCAGTAATCTTTCTGTCTTATATGGAACTCTTTTATATGCAGTGGCCTTCCTGCTTCCTTGGTTCCCTTGGAAATTCTATGAAGAAATTGACTGGCTTAGTGCACTTCACCTGGTGGTATCATTATGTGCTTTTGATAGCACACTTACTTGTGTGGAGCAAGCCCAGTGCAGATTCTTTGCAGAAACTGTTACTAGGCAAGAAAGTCATCTTCAGCTGATTAAAATGAATCATGTGGCAGCACTAGTAGGATCTACCAGTGTCCTTTTCTGTGGCCTCATCTCTAATAACTTGGAAATTCTGCCCAAATTTCAGTCTGTTGCTATTGTCATTGCCTTTTTTGCAGCTTGCAGCCTTTACAGTGGCATGTACTACATGAGATATTTTGAACCTAAAAGAAGCAGCGAGGAAAATGTTTTCTTGGAAAGTGAACAGGATCTCACCTGGACCTCTGTTGCCTTATTTTTGAGACAAATCTTGTTCCAGAAGAACTTCTTTCTTTTTCTGATCATGAGTTTCTTACAAGTCTTCCATTTAACTTTCTTCAATAACTTCATGATGATTTTTGCAGATAATCTCATTCCCAGGAATGTTCTTTCTTCTTCCACAAGGAGCATCATGTACGGGGCAGGATTCATTTGCCCACAGGTATGTGATAACTCTTTGAATAACTCTTACCCAGGTGTGGTAGTAATCTCAGCTACTTGGGACACTGAAGTGGGAGGATCCCAAGTTGGAGGTCAGCGTTGGCAATTTAGTGAGACCCTGTCTCAAAATCAATTTAAAAAAGGTCTGGGGATGTAGCCCAGTGGTGGGGCACTTTCCTAGCATGTGCGAGGCCCTGAATTCAGTCCCTAGTACTATCAAAATTTAAAGTGTTTAATTCTTAATTGGCTGAGGAAATTAGAAACCTGATTATATCAGTAGTGTGAATAAGATGCACATTTTTATTAAGAAACCTAAAGATTCAGAGCCCCAGACCTTATAGAAGATTTAGTAGAAACATAATAGAAAAAAGAAGATGAAAAGGAAAAAAGGAAGAGTCCAGTGAAAGCCAAGCAACATGGTATTTTAAACATTTTAACTTTTGAATTGTGTTCCCTGAGCTTTTCCATTTAAGTCTCAGCAGAATTATGGAAGAAAATAATGAGTGTGTTGTTTTGCTTTATTGAGGTATGACTTTTGTGACAGTTATATGGAAGAAAAGTCACTTGATCAAGAATCCATGGAGCCAGGTTTCAAAACATTTGGCAAAAGTACTGAGTTCTGGAATTCCAGAGTGTTATTAAAATTCCATGTTCATGACTATTATTATAGAGGGCATGTTCTCCTTCAAAAAACAAAAATACTGCCATGCTGTTTATTATACCATTTGGAGAACTAATATATCACTCCCCTCAACCTAAATATGTCCACAAAAAATGATTTAATTAATGTGACTTCAGTTTCTCCTGTTTTCATGAATAATAAGTAAAACCTATTACTTATATATTTCATGGAATAAGGAATARGACATTCTGGATAGTCTAGTTTTTACCACTTGCCAACTTTCAAAAGTATTTAAACATTTGGGATAGAAGTAGTCCAATAATTCTTAAGTGTAACCATAATTTCTTAAATGAAGTATATAGGATAGAATTTGCCTTTCTGCTATTAGCTCAGTTCTTTATGTCTCCTGTTTATATTATAATAATGACAACTCATGGATTATGCCAAACACATTGTACACATTACCTCATGTAATTCTTATAATAAGCTCCGAAGAGATCCTTTTCATCCTTATAGATAAGAGGCACAGAGCATCTATGTGCCTCAAGAGGCATGCACTTCAAGATGCTAACTTGGTGTGGTGATGTGTGCCTATAATCCCAGCTACTCAGGAGTCTGAGGCAGGAAGATCATTTGAGCAATGGGTTCAAGACTAGATTGGATAGGGGATGGGCTGGGGATGTAGCTCAGTGGTAGAGCGCTTGCCTGGTGTGTAAGGTCCTGGGTTTGATCCTCAGCACCATATAAAAATAAGTAAATGGAATAAAGGTATTGTGAAAAAAATTCTTTTTATTTTTTTTAATTTTTTAATTGATTTTTTAAAATAAATTACATTGAAATGCATTACAATTCTTATCACACATATAGAGCAAAAATTTTCATATCTCCGGTTGTATATAAAGTATGTTGATACCAATTTGTGTCTTCATACATGTACTTTGGTGCTGAGAGCCACAGCCTAGTCKGAATGGCCCCTGGCATTTTGCAAATAGTATTGGTTGAGAGGCAAGCCATTAAAATGATGCTGGATTGATTCGGTTGTATATTAGACCTTTACTGTCCACCTCGGCCTGCTACTTTGGAGTTCTTGCACTACTTTGGAGTTCTTGCGCTACTTTGAAGTTCTCGTGGGGATTCCCAGAGAGTTCCCATTGGTTGGGGAAGTGCGGGAGGAGGGATTTCCGGAGGAGGGATTTCTGGTTGGTGGTTCCTGGAGGAGCCGTGTGGCGTTCGGGAGAGTTCCCGGGAGCATGAGTGGAGGGTGCTGGTGGAGTTCAGAAATAAAGTTTGTTCCTGCTTCAGTGGCTCGTGATTTGTGCCCAGCCAGACTGCGGCATTTTGGATAATGATGTCCATCACATTCCACCATCCTTGCTAATCCCCTGCCCCCTCCCTTCCCTCCCACCCCTCTGCCCTATCTAGAGTTCATCTATTCCTCCCATGCTCCCCCTCCCTACCCCACTATGAGTCAGTCACCTTATATCAGAGAAAACATTCAGCATTTGTTTTTTTGGGATTGGCTAACTTCACTTAGCATTACCTTAGCATTACCTTCTCAAACACCATCCGTTTACCTGCAAATGCCATGATTTTATTCTCTTTTATTGCTGAGTAATTTTCCATTGTGTATATAGGCCACATTTTTTTATCCATTTATCTACTGAAGGGCATCTAGGTTAGTTCCACAGTTTAGCTATTGTGAATTGTACTGCTATAAACATTGATGTGGCTGTGTCCCTGTAGTATGCGTTTTAAGTCCTTTGGGTATAGACGGAGGACTAGGATAGCTGGGTCAAATGGTGGTTCCATACCCAGTTTTCCAAGGAATCTCTATACTGCTTTCCATATTGGCTGCACCAATTTGCAGTCCTACCAGTAATGTATGAGTGTATCTTTTCCCCCAAATCCTTGCCAACACTTATTGTTGTTTGTCTTCATAATAGTTGCCATTCTGACTGGAGTGAGATGATATCTTAGAGTAGTTTTGATTTGCATTTCTCTAATTCCTAGAGATGATGAACATTCTTTCATATATTTGTTGATTGATTGTATATCCTCGTCTGTTCATGTCCTTGGCCCATTTATTGATTAGGTTAATTGTTTTTTTTGGTGTTTAGCTTTTTGAGTTCTTTATATACCCTAGAGATTAGTGCTCTATCTGATGTGTGAGGGGTAAAGATTTCCTCCCAAGATGTAGGCTCTCCATTCACCTCACTGATTGTTTCTTTTGCTGAGAAGAAGCTTTTTAGTTTGAATCCATCCCATTTATTGATTCTGGGTTTTAATTCTTGTGCTATAGGAGCATTGTGAAAAAAAATTCTTAAAAAAAAGACTAGATTGGACAACATAGTGAGACCCCCATCTCAAAAAAAAAATCTATCTCTAAGATATACTGTGTGCACATCATTTGTTTAGCAGGGTATACTAAAGGAACTTCTGGTTAATCATTGTATTTCCAGGTGTTAATGTGTGCAAGATAAAATGATGCCCTCCCTTCAGAGCACTGTGAGGTTTGCCAAGCTTTTTACTCCTGTGTTAGCTTCCCATTACTGTAACAAAATACCTGGGATAATTAACTTATAAGAGGTTTATTTAGCTCACAGTTCTAGAAGTTCCATTCAAGTTTGGTTGGGCCCATTGCTTTAGGACTCTGGTGGGGTGCTGGATGGCAATGGTAGGGAGTGCTTGATGGAGCAAGCTGGTCACTTCCTGGACAAAAATCAAGAGAAATAGAAAGGGGCTGGGGTCCCACATCCTTTTCAAGGGCATACCTACCCCCATGACCAAAGGGCCTCACACTAGGCCTTATCTACTAAGTGTTCCATCACCCCACAACAGGGCCACACTSGGAACCAAGCCTTTAACCCATGGGCCTTTGGRGGGCATTTGAGATCCAAAACTGTAGCAGCTCCTAATTTCAATGACCCAGATTAGGAAGCTATTTGAATTTCTGTCTCTACTTATTATTTGCCACCATATTTTAGGCTGTTTATACCTTCTCACTTTAAGTCATGTGCTTATCTGTAGTTTCTACTCTTTGCCAGCTTTAAAAAAGTTCATTAAATTAAACTCCCATGTAAAAATGGAGCTGATTTTTAAAAACRGCCTTATTRAGATATGATTCCCATTGCATACGATTCATTCATTTAAAGCACACAATTCAGTATAGTTTAGCATATTCAGTCGTGGGATTAGCACTATGGTCAAGTTGAGTTACATTTTCATCACTCTGAAAATAATCAGTCAATCCTCACTTCACTCCCCTCAGCCCTGGAAACCATTAAACTACCTTTTGTCTTTATGGATTTGCTTTTCTGGATTTTCATGTAATAAAATCATATAATATGTGGCCTTTTGTGACTGGTTTTTTCACATAGCCTGTTTTTTAAGGTTCATCCATGCTCTAGTACATGAACATTTAATTCTATATTAATCTGTTTTCAGATGTTAATAACATAATACCACAGAATAGGTAYATTTTAAATAAAAGAGGCCCATGGTTCTGTAGTCCAAGGTTGATGGGCTGCATCTGGTAATGGCTTTCTTGCTGGCAGAATCCTAAGCAGGAACAGGCCATATTATGTGACAGAAGAGAAAGAGCCCAAGTGTATATATATTCTAGTCTCTTATAAAGTCAACGGTAACCAATCATGGAGTCTCTTATAAGGTCACCAGTAATCAATCATAGAGGCTCCATCCTGATAACATTATCAAATTCTAATYGCCTCCCAAAGGCTCACCTCTAAACACTGTAGGTGGATTAAATTTCTACCCTCTTAATACCTCTCAATAGGGACTAAACTCCAACATGAGTTTTTGAGGCAACCAACCATATTCAAACCATAAAATTCCTTTTTTATGATTCAGTAATATTCCATTAGATTAATGTACCAAATTTTGTTTATCTATTCATTAGTTGATGGACATTTGAGTTGTTTCCATTTTTGGGTTATTAATGAGTTGTGTTGCCATAAACATTAGTGTTAAATTTTGTATGGTCATATATTTTCATTTCTTTGGGGTATCTATCTAGGAATGGAATATATAGGTTTTATGGTAACTCTATATTTCACATTTTGAGATGGTGACAGACTGTTTTCCTGAGTGGCTACACAATTTGACATCCCCACCAGCAGTGTACAATGGTTCCAGTTTCTCCAAATCACTACCAACTCTTGTTATCTTTTTTTATTGTAGGTATCTCATTGTAGTTTTGGATTTCCCTGATGATTAATGATGTTGAACATTTTTCATGGATTGTTGTATAGGTTCTTTGGAAGACTATCTATTTAGCTCATTTGCCCAGTTATTTGCCTTTTTAATGGAGTTGTAATGGTTTTTCATATTTTTTCATAGTGTGTATTATCAGATATACTTCATAAAAATATTCTCCTATTCTGTAGGTTGTCTTTTCACTTTCTTGATGGAATTGGAAAGTGTGAGTCCTCCTATTTTATTCTTTTCCAAGATGTTTTTGGCTATTCTAGGTCTTTTGAAAATCTATATGAATTTTAGAATCAGCTTGTCAAATTCTATAAAGAACTTAGCTGGGATGCTGATAGGAAGTTCACTGGATGTATAGATTATTTGTGTGGTATTGCTGTCTTAATGATGTTAAATCTTGGGCTGAGAATGTAGCTCAGTGGCAGAGTACTTGCCTCGAATGTGCAAAGCCCTAGGTTCAATACCCATTACCAAAAAACAAACAAACAGGGCTGGGGTTGTGGCTCAGTGGTAGAGCACTCACCTTGCACGTGTGAGACCCTGGGTTCCATCCTCAGCACCACATAAAAATAAATAAGTGAAATAAAGGTAATGTGTACAACTATAACTAAAAAAGTAATTTAAAAAAAACACAAAAATCTTGATGTTAAATCTTCAGATTCATGAACATGGAATGTTTTTCCATCTATTTTAGATTAAAAAAATTTATTTCAACAATGCTGTATAGCTTCTTCCTTCTTTTATTAAATTTACTCCTAAGTATTTAGATAGATATTTAGTGAATACCTGAAGGGCTTTCATGAGTAAAGAACATAAGCTTTGGGCTGGGGTTATGGCTCAGTGGTAGAGTGATCGCCTATCACATGCGAGGCCCTGGGTTTGGTCCTCAGCACCACATAAAAATAAATAAAATAAATGTATTATGTCCAGCTACAAATAAAAATAATTATATAAAAAAGAACATAAACTTTACTAAGTATGTAGAGTCATGATTTTATTTTGTTAGTTCCCATTGATTTTTTTTACTTCTTTTATCTTTTAGCCATGTTCTGGGTAGAGATCATCAGATGGTTGAATTGTGGTGGAGTGAGGGACTGCTAATGCTTCTGAATGAATCATAACCTCTTTATTTTTTTATTGTAAAAATGGCATCTGTTGTACAATTCTACTACCAAATAACTTGCAGTAAGAACTATTACTCATGTCCTTTCCCATATTTTACTTACTGAGGTTTTTAAAACTAAGTTATACGTATAATTTTTAAAACAAAATGAGTTCATCTATGAATCTTTTGTATCCTGCATTTTATTTTGTTTTTGGTACTGGAAATTGAACCCAGGGGTGCTCTACCACTGAACTATATCCCCAGTCCTTTTTTTATTTTTTATTTTGAGACAGGGTCTCACTAAGTTGCTTACAGCCTCCTGGCTAAGTGGCTGGGGCTGGCCTTGAACTTGCTATCCTCCTGCCTTAGCATTGCGAGTCACTGGGATTACAGGTGTGCGCTGCCATACCTGGCTAGATCCTGCTTTTTTATCTTCACAAATTTTGGAAATTTTTCATGTAACATATAAGTCTAATTTAGTTTTTAAATATTCATTTATTTGTATAAAAATATGGCTCATATCTTTTTATATATTGGACATAAGAATAATAACTAACAATCATTGAGTTCCTTGTATGTTGAATATAGAGCTAGATGGGGGTGGGAGGAAAATGTCTTTTAGGTGAAATCAGTTCTCTGTGATATAAACTGAGGACATGTGACATTATTAACTTCTTATATTTTGCATATTTGTTGAGATCCAGAAGAAGCAGACTCATTTTAATATGTGGAAATGTGTTACTTTGAATATTATAACTATACACAAGAGTATAATTCGATTTGCTAGATGCTTTGCATACCTTCTCTTATAGAACTCTCAGGAATGCCTAGGACGATAGCCATCACAGAGCTATTGTTTTCAGTATCCAGAAAGTGAGCTCTTGTTTCTTGAAAGTAGAGAATTAAGCTGGAAAAAAAAAATCAGTCGAGGGGGAAAAAAAMCCCTTATGTTTATTAAAGGACATTTGTAATCTACTTATGTCTTTCAAAATGCTCTTCTAATTGTAATGTACATACATTTGGGTAGTGAAACTTTTCAGGACTAAACAATGTGCTTTTTCTYTTGAGAACAAAGAGTGTCTTCTGATTTTTGTTAATGTACATATGTATATTTAGCACAAACTTTACAGTCTAGAACAATGAACTTTTTCATTTGGTAGCAAGAAATTCAGGGGAAAAAAGCAAATCTAAGTCTCAGATGTCAACATGAATCTATTGGAATTATGAAAATATGTGAGATTAGGCAGGACACACAAGCAGAAACAATATAGATAGAATCCTGGAATATTGTTTACTAAACCTCTGATTTTATAGTAAAAAGTACACTTCAGATTAATATCACAGTAAGAATAATAGTGAGATTTTTTTATATATTCAACAATYGTTTTGGCTACTGTGCATGTACACTATGTGAATTCTGTTTGGGTTTATTTTAGACTTGAGTTGAATCTTTCACTTTACCATAAAGCAATGCTGTTTGTTGCTACTGATCAATGTCTTATATTATCACTTTTAGTAAAATCTACCTTAGTATGAAAATAATTAGGAAACTATTTCCTGGTTAGTTTATTTGTTTTTATAGAAAATAATAGTGGCTTATTTGTTATTTATAGAATATTAATATCCATAGTCAATTTTTTTGGATATATGTGGATCAAATCATCCGAAACCAAGAGAGAATTAGTTGTATGTTTCAATTGATACTGTAATTCAAAAGCAAATTTATTTTGTAATGAGAATATTTTGTCAACAGTGAGAGTAAGTAGACATAATGGGTGGGTTTGCTTCTTAACACAAAGCCAAATCTATTTTCATTTCAGTGCCTTGTCCTTATGGGTCAGTCCTGGCTGAAGAAATTTGGTTACTATAAGATTATCTTAACCTCTTTCTACCTAGAAGGAGTGGTCTCCATTGTCATGTTACTTCTGGGACAGGATTACTATTACTGTTTGGCTTTTTATCTCATTATTATCAAGTAAGTAAATACCGAAAACAGTGAACATCATTTTTAAAAAATATTTTTTTAGATGCATGGATGTTTATTTTGTTCATTTACTTATATGTGGGGCTGAGAATCAAACCCAGTGCCTCACACATGGTAGGTAAGTGCTCTACCTCTGAGCTACAGCCTCAGACCCCAGTGAACATCTTTGATGGGATTCCGGTATAATATTCGCTTCTAGGCTGGATCATTGAATCTTTCTACCAAATTGTTTGAATGCTTGGTTTTTGTTTGTTTGTTTTTAGTACAAGGGGTTGAACCCAGGGGTGCTTAACCACTGAACCACATTCCTATTCCTTTTTATTTTGAGACAGGGTCCTGCTAAATTGCTGAGGCTGGTTTTGAATTTGGGATCCTCCAGCCTCAGCCTCCCAAACCGCTGGGATTACAGGCACGTGCCACCACTCCCCAGTTTAACAGTTTTTTGTTTTTTTTTTTAAAGAGAGATCACACACTGGGTTGGGGATATAGCTCAGTTGGTAGAGTACTTGTCTTGCATGCACAAGGCCCTAGATATCCCACACTAATTTTTGTAGTAAAGTTAAGTTTCTTCTTGGTGACCTATTAAAATGCAATATTGAGTAAATGCTATTGTCAGATTCAAAGAAGCTGAGATTCTATTCCTCCTTCAACTCTTTCTCCTATTTCTTCTTTTTTTCTGATTTTTGATTAACAAGTAATAATTGTACATATTTAATGGGCTTCAGTGTGAGATTTCAATACATGTATAAAGAGGGTTCACTGATTAAATCCAGTCTTCCTCTACCCACATTTTTCTGGATGGCTAAATAACATTCCATTGTGTATGTCTTCCAGATTTTCTGAATCATTCATCCACTGATGGATACTGAGGCTGATTTCATATCTTAGCTTTGTGAATAGTGTTGTAAGAAATTAAGGTGTGAGGAATTTCTTTAGCATGCTGATTTTATTTCCTTTGAATATAAACCCAGAAGGGGGATAACTGGATTATATGCTATTTCTAGTTTTAGGTTTTTGTTTGTTTTTGCAATGGGGTCTTGCTGTATTGGCTAGGCTGGCCTCAAACTTGCAAACCTCCTGCCTCAGCCTCCTGAGTAAGTGGGATTACAGGCTTTTTCCTGCCCAGCTTTGTTTTTAGTTTTTTTGAGGAGCCTCCATGCTATTCTCCATAATGACTGTTCTAATTCACATTCCCACCAGTAGCAAATGAAATTTCCTTGTTCTACAAATCCTCACCATCATTTATTTCTTATGTTTTTGATGATAGCTTTCCTAACTGGGGTAAGAAAATATCTCATTGTAGTTTTGATTTGCATTTCCCTGATGACTAATGATACTGAACCTTTTTTTTTCATATATTTGTGGCCATTTGTATTTCTTTTTTTAAGACGTTTCTAGTCAGATCATTTGCTTATATTTTAATTGGATTGCTTGGTTTTTGTGTTGTTAAGGTTTTTTTTTTTAGTTCCTTATATATTCTGGATATTATTCCTTTGTCAGATGAATAGTTGGCAAATATTTTCTCCTATTCTGTGACTTTTCTCTTTACTGTTGATCCTTTCCTTCCTTTCTTTTTTTTCTTACTGTGCAGAAGAAGCATTTTAGTTTGAAGCAATCCCATCTGTCTATTTTTGCTTTTGTTTCCTGTGTTTTTGATGTCATATCCAAGAAGTCATTGTCTTGAAGTGTTTCCCCTATGCTTTCTTGTACAGTTTTATGTCTTATACTTAGCTCTTTGTCCATTTTGAGTTGATTTTTTTTTTTTTGGTACCAGGGATTGAATCCAGGAGTACTAAATAACTGAGCCACATCCCCATTCCTTTTTATATTTATTTTGAGACATAGTCTCACTAAGTTGTTTAAGCCCTCACTAAGTTGCCAAGGCTGGCTTTGAACTTGTGGTCCTCATGCCTCAGCCTCGAAAGCGTGGGATTACAGGCATGTGCTACTGAGTYTGACTTGAGTTGAGTTTTTGCACAAGGTAAGAGGGGTCAAGCTTCAGTCTTCTGTAGGTGACTATCCAAATTTCCCAGTACCATTTATTAAAGAGACTGTCTTTTCTCCAACATGTGTTTTGGGTGCCTTTGTCAAGAATCAGGGGCTGGGGTTGTGGCTCAGCAGTAGAGTGCTTGCCTCTCACGTGCGAGATCCTGAGTTCAATCCTCAGCACCACATAAAAATAAATAAGTGAAATAAAGGTATTGTAACCAACTACAACCAATAAATAAATAAATAAATATTTTAAAAAATAAAAAAAACAATATCAGCTGACAGTTCCTCCTATTTCTGCAACTTCTACTCTTCCCCTGGCACCCAATCCTCCAGACATCTTGAATTCAACGGGTCCAAATCAAGGATCTTGCCCCTATTTGCTCTTTTTCACCTTTGTTCACCATTATGGAAAACGGTTTCACCATCTGTCTAGTTGCCCAAATTTGGGACTGAGAAATTSTTTCCTTCTCTCTCTGAATTTTGACACCTCCATTTAACACCTCCATCTACATCATTGGCAGACTCATCTCTAACACATCCCGAATCCATCCTTCTCTACTCATTCAGCTCAGATCTCAATGTCACTTATATGGAATGCTGTTGTAACCTCCAGTTGTCCCCATTGCCTCCAGTCTCTAGTCCCTCTAACCCCTTCTCCCAAATTGCATCAGAATAACATGTCATCCTTTTGCTTAACAAGCCAATTGTTTCCATGATATATTTGAATRACATAAAGTCCTTTTTATGCAGGCCTTCTTTATCTTTCCATCCTCTTTTCTTGTTATTCATCCATTTACACTGTATTCTCCACCATATGGAAAGACTTTGAAATTTCTGGTTCAGACACCTCTGTGTGTTACAAATGCAGTTTCCTGTGTCTGGAAAGCTGTTCCTCATTTCTTGCCTGACTCTCTTCTAAAGTGTTTTTTTGTTTTTATTTTTCCTGGGGTTTGAATCCAGAGGTGCTTAACCACTGAGCAACCACCCCCAATCTTATTTTTGTTTTATTTTGARACAGGGTCTCACCAAGTTGCTTAGGGACTTACTACATTGCTGAGGCTGGCCTTGAACTTAAATTGCTGGGATTATAGGTGTGTGCCACCATGCCTGGCTCTTGTTTRCTTTTTTAAACTTAAACTTTTCTCTCCATTTTATTCTGTTATCATAATCAAAATGTTATGTGCCTATTTACAGTTCTTAACTTATTCTGTTTTTATATTAAGAGAAAGCAGATGAAATTCCCTGGAAAGTTCTATTCCTTAGAATCTATTTGTAACTTGAGCAGATTTAATAAACAAGTAATTATTAGGGAATGGGAAAAAGCATAAAAACCATTAAAAAATCCTATGTGGAAGTAATTACTTTTAGAAGAGAATTGCATATATTTGAGGGACAGAATTATATATTTAATATATCTTTACTTTTATAGTATCCAATTTCACTTTTTTCCTTCTTGCAAACCAAATGCCAAGTTTCATTTGATGTGTTTTTTAAAATAACAAAATCTGTGCCTTCTAGTTGTAAAATGTTCATATGTGTACATTATTTTAATTTTTTCTAGGGTGATTGTGCAAGCTTCTTTTTGTTTATTTAACCTGCCACTAGCTGACCTGATYCATGAAGATTTACTGAAGTTCAATAGGCAGTAAGTATATTTATTCAGATATTAGCTATAAAAGTGTCAGATGCAGGTAGGACCTATCGGAGTCGCAATATCTCAGTTATATTAATACTATAAATCACATACAAGAGAGATGGTCATAAGAGGCATCATTAGGAATTGGGGAGTAGAATATCATAGGATATTCCTATTTGTTTGCCCTACACCATTTCCCTCCACTTTTGAAAGGGCATCATGATTTTTATCCCTCAGGTTCACATAGCCAATGTTACAACAGGGTTAAAACTCAGAAGTAAATCAAAATCTTAGTTAGCTATAGGTTCTACATAGTGCCATACACACCAGACAGTAAGGTAAAGTGACCTGTGCTCAGTGACGTTCTAAGAATTAAAATTTAAAAAATCAAGCTTCATCGTATCCTTTCTTACTTGAGAAAGTCTTAAGCTGATGATAACGTGTTTTGTTCTTTGGTATGATTATAAATGTTTTAGGTCAGATATAAAATTCTCTTGGTTGACAAATATTTTCGGATATATACCTCCTTTTGCATTCCTCTAAATATTTTCGGATATATACCTCCTTTTGCATTCTAAAGAGGAATGAATTATGTTACAGCCTTTTTTTGTTAACTTTGTAGAAACATATTGCACAGTCTCTCTCTTTTTTAAGGCAACTGAAATGGAGGAGAGCTTTGCCCACTGCTTATTCTCCTCTTTATATATGATTCCTTTCCTGTTTCACAGTCCTGTTGCTGTCATAATCATAGCAATAAGTGAGCTGATGAGTGCCTCACAGTTCAGGACCATATCTTCAGTCTAATGACCTTCATGCTTAGAAAGACTGAGAAGACTTTTTGTTTTTCCTTAAAAAGATGATTAAGTGCCAGGAGCAGTAGCTCACGCCTGTAATCCCAGCAGCTCAGGAGGCTGAGGCTGGAGGATCGCAAGTTCAAAGCCAATCTCAGCAATTTAGTGAGGTTCTAAGTAACTCAACGAGACCTTGTCTTTAAATAAAAATATAAAAAAGGGCTGGGGATGTGGCTCAGTGGTTAAGCACTTCTGGGCTCAATCTGCGATACAAAAAAAAAAAAAAGAAAACATGTTAACAAACAGCAATTTTAGTAAATGTTTTATACCTCTCAATTTCTCCTCCTCCTCCTCCTTCTTATTTTTATGTCCCAGAGATCAAACCCAGGGGCACTTAACCTCTGTACCACATCTACAGCCCTTTTTTATTTTTTGTTTTGAGACAGTGTCTCCCTAAATTGCATAGGGCCTTGCTGAATTGCTGAGGCTGGCTTTAAACTTTTGATCCTCCAATAACAGGTGCATGCCACCATGTTTGGCTCTTTTTTTTCTTTCTGGGTTGTTGTTTTTTTTTTTTTTTTTGGTGCTGGGGATTGATCTGAGGGCCTTACACAAGCTGAGCATGCGCTCTACCACTCAGCTATACCCTCAGCCCTCAAATTCTCTTTGAATGAGATACCCTACAAATAAATGAAACATTTCAAACAGTTGGCCATATGCCAAATGCCAGTGTGCATAAGCACCATATGGCTATTTGCTTATTTACATCTAATAGCACCCTTGAATGATAGATAAGATTGACTTTACAGATATGACCTATGTGTCAGGCAATGTGGAAAAGCTGGGGATACAGTTCAGCAGGTCTTGTAAGAGACTCTCCACTTACCTGATACTCTTTGTTCCTCCTAAACAATGCCTACTTATGTGCATGTATGCCATATGTTGGTGACCGAATGGCTATTTGAGGATACCTGTGCTTTCCTGCTCTGATGATTCAGTTCTACCCTTACCAAGAATTAGTGTTTTTTATTTTAAACCTGTTAATGTCAGATGTGCTTGTAATTATAATTACAAGGTTTAATTACTCTTAGATTTTATAAACTTAAGAAATACAGGTATAAAATGAAAACCTTGAAGTGATTTCTTTCTTTCTTTCTTTTTTTTTTTTTTTGCTTTAGCCAAATGTCCTGATCATGTCAAAGTGGAAAGTTTTCTACTATAATGACAAAACACATGTGGTCCCTGCCCTCATGGCACATACAGTTTTGTGGGGGGAGACAGACTGTAGTTATATTACCATATGATTATAATTATCCTAATTTTTAGGAAACTTATACTATTCATGGATTAACTTTTCCAAGTTAACATAATAGCTGATTGAAGAACTGGGAATCAAATCCAAGTTCTTTCTATCAAGTCAAACTTCCTCCAATTCTCTGGCCTTGATTTATTTATTTTCTTTCTTTCTTCCTTCTTTTCCCTCCCTCCCTCCCTTCCTTCCTTCCTTCTCTCTTTCTCTTTTTCTTTCTTTCTCCTTTCTTTTTTCTCCTCCTTATTGGCAAAGTTTCCATCACCAATTAAAACATGAAAAGATTTAATTTTGTTCAGTCAATGCACTTGATTTACTTTATATGACATCATTATTAAAAAACTACATGGCAGGAATCCATTAAAGTAATACTTAAGGAAATTTGGGCAGAAAAACTTAGGTGTGAATATCAGTTCTTTCATTTACACATCGTATGACTGTGGATGTTGTCATCTGTTCTCCCATCTCTAAAAGAGGAGGGTGGCAAAAGCTTTCTTATGATTGCTGTGGGGCTTAAATTAACTAATATGTGGAGCTCACTTACTCAGTACAGTGCTCACTTACTGAGCATGTAAGAAGGCAGCAGCTGTCTTCTCTTTGCATCTTAACTATGGGGCTAAGATTTTACAATTACTCTGCTATTTCTATTTTTGTTTACTCAGGGTCAGGAGGGACTTCCTAGATGAAGATGTCCTTGATACATAGACATATAMGTATGAACTTATGTGTATAAAAACATACACATGTGGGCCAGGTCTGGGGCTCAGTGGTGGAGTGCTTGCCTCACATGTGTGGGGCACTGGGTTCCATCTTCAGCACCACATGAAAATGGATGAATGGGGGGGGGGTTGTGTCCATCTACAACTAAAAAAGAAAGAAAGAAAAAAAAAACATACACATTAATCTGTGTGTGTGTTAAAGACCCATGTAACCTTTGTCTTCCAGATTGTCCCTTTGCTCACTGATTTTTGGCATCTATGCTCTGTTTACCAAGCCTGCTCAGTCTTTAGCTCCCATGGGGGTGCTGTGTAAGCTAAAGCAGCATGAATATTGGGACCCAAACAGCAGGTAAAGTAACAACCTTTGAAATCACATGAAAGAAATATGAAAGCAAACTCTGTTGTTATCTTGCACTTTGGATGTTGTTAGCTATGAACTCGTGTATCTCAAGTAAGCTATGACCGTGAATGCTGAAGGAACTTTATGAAGAGCATCTTTAAGTATTGGATATTATTTAAGTTATATGCACTACATATGTCAATATAATTTGTACTAAATTGCATATTGATGACCTTATCTAAGTCATTCATGAAAGGAAAGTGACCACAACACTCGGAGCAACCAAAAGATCTTTATTGCAGCAGTGCAACAAAGAGAAAGGAAAGAAGGAAAGAGAGAGAGAGAGAAAGAAGAGAAGAGATGAACAGGGAGAGAGCAAGAGCAAGAGAGAGAGAGCGCGCACAAGAAAGATAAAGAGAGCAAGAGAGAAAGAGAGAGGGGGGCCTGGCAGGAGGAGTTTTTATAGCCCAAATCTAATGGGGCCTCTGGGTCTGCAAGCTGCCTTGTTGGCCCAAGGGGGGTTGAGTGCTCAGCCTTGAGCGGGACTTGACACAAACAGGTGATAAAGGACCAGACAGAGGGGGGGTTGAGTGCGTGGGCTATCTTGCAGCCAACATCTGTTCAGCCTGCCCTGCAGACAACACAGTTCAGCCTGCTCTGCACCCAACAATTCATTCATTATTTCATTTCACCAAAGTTTTTAAAGACTTGCTCTTATATGCCAGGGACAAAGGTACTGGGAATACAATATGAATAAGGAGACTTTAAGGGGCTCTACAGATTACAAAAAACCATGATAAAGGGGCCCATCAGAGGCATAATGGGGCACTGTGGTAATGCAGAGAAGAGGTCCCCTCCTCAGTCTGCCCAGGGAGCACTTCACAGGAGTCGGGGTTCTGGAGCTGGGTTTGGGTGACTGAGTTGGATTTCCCCTCCTGAACACAGATGAAACGAAAACAGCATGGTAAATATCAGGAAGCACGCATGCACTCTCAATCAGCTGTCCATTTATTCATCCCATAAATATTATTGAGAGCCCCCCAAGCCCTAGACTATGACACAGCAGGGAGGTCTCTGTCCTCTAGAGGGAGGGAGGAGGACTTAAGAAAAACAGAGTGCTTTATATAATGATCAGTTCTTTGGTGAGAAATAAAGATCGGGGAAACTAAGAAGGGTTGGAGAAAGCTGCATTTTAAAAGAGGAGAATGGAGAAGGCCCCACCAAGTTGACATTTGAAAGACCTGGAGAAACCTGGGAGGGAACCATGAAGATTCTCTGGGGGGGAAGTGTTCCTGGCAGGAGATGCAGGTGGCAAGGCTCTGAGGTACAGCATGCCTGGTGCTCTAGGTCTGGCAAGGAGGCCAGTGTGCTGAAGCTCAGTAAGCAAGAGAGGAAGCCATGATATGGAGAGAAGCCAGGTCACACAGGGCCTTACAGGACCTTGTAGGGCCCTATGGTCCTGCTTTGTTACTTTGGTTTCACTAGGAGATGGATGGTGGTGATTGATTGACTAGACCCATTTACAGAGCAGTTTTAATTCATAACAAAGTTGAGCAGAAAGTGCAAAGTTCCCATATATCCCCTAAGTAACCTCACTTGCATCGCTTCCCTCCTTATCAGTGTTCCTTATCAGAGTGGCACTTTTTTACAACTGATGAGCCTACATGGACACATCATCCTCATCCAGTTCATAGTTTATGCTAGGGTTCACTCTTGGAGTTGTGTGTTTTATGGGTTTGCACAGATGTATCATGGCATGTATCAACTACTATAGTATAATACAGAATATTTTCACTTCTCTAACAGTCTCCTGGGCTCCACCGATTTCTCTCTTTCTTCTCACTAACACCTGGCAATCCCTGATCTTTTCACTGCCTCCATAGTTTGGCCTTTTCTAGAAGTCATATAGTTGGAATCATATAGTATGTAACTTTTTCAGATTGGTTTCTTTCACTTAATAATAATATGCACTTAAGTTTCTTGTATGTCTTTTTGTGGATTGATAGTTCATTGGTTTTTAGTGCTGCACAATATTCCATTGTCTGGATGTACCATAGTTTATACATTCATTTACTGGAGAGCATCTTGGTTGCATACATGCTTTGGAAATTGTGAATAAAACTCCTATAAAAATTGGTGTGTACACAGGTTTTTGTGTGGACATAAGTTTTTRTTTAATTTAGATTGATGCTAAGGAGCATGTTGGCTGAATTATAAATAAGAATATGTTTTCTTCTGTAAGAAACTGCCAGACTGTCTTCCAAAGTGGCGGTACCATTTTGCATTCCCACCAACAATGAATGAGAGTTCCTATTGCTGCACAACTATAGCAGCAGTGTCTTTCTCAGAGCACAAGTTTTTAATCTTCAATTCAGCTCATTATTTTTTTTCTTTACTGGATTATACCTTTGGTGTTGTATCTAAAAAGCCATTGCCACACCCAAAGTCACCTAGATTTTTTCCTATGCTCCATTCAAGGTGTTTTGTAGATTCAGGTTTTACATTTAGGTCAATGATTCATTTTGAGTTGGTTTTCATGAAGAGTATAAGGTTTGTTTGTGTCTGTGTTTGTGTGTGGATGTCAATTGTTCCAGCATCATTTGTTGAAAACACTATTTTTCTTCATTGTATAGCCTTTGCTTCTTTTTTTCAAAGTTAAATTGATTATATTTATTTGGTATACTCTGGTCTTTCTTCTCTGTTCCTTTGATCTATTTATTTATTTTTTCACATACCAGACTTCTTAATTACTGCAGCTTTGTAGTAAGTCTCAATGTAGGGTAGTGTCAGTCCTCCACCTCTGTTCTCCAATAATGTCTACTAGCTTCTTTGTAAAAACTTTAGAATTAGTTTTCAATATTTACAAAATACCTTCCTGGGATTTTTCACTGGGATCTATAGATGAAGTTGGGAAGAACTGATATCTTAAAATATTGCTTTCCTATCCAAGAACATGGATTATGTCTCCATTCTGTTAGCCTTCTTTCTTTCATTGGAGTTTTGTAGTTTTCCTCATATAGATCTTGCATGTATTTTGTTATACCTAAGTATTTCATATTTGGGGGTACTATTATAAATAACATTATATTTTGAATTTAAAATCACAGTTGTTCAGGGGAGAGATTGACTTTTTTATGTTAATCTTGGATTTGACAACCTTGCTATCATAATTTCTTAGTCCCAGGAAGTTTTGTTTTGTTTTGTTTTTGTTTTTGTCAATTCTATAGGATTTTCTACATATGTGAGGATTTATTTAATTTTATTCTTACAACTTTTCCTTCCAGAAGGCTGGGGATATAGCTCAGTTGGTAGAGTGCTAGCCTCACATATACAAGGCCCTGTGTTCAATTCCCAGCACCACAAAAATAAAGAAAGAAACAAACAAAAATAAAAAACAATAAACTACTTTTCCTCCCAGAATTTTATTTTCAAAAATAAAAAAAAATATTTAAAAGTTGTATAGTGATCACATCTTGATTCAACTGTTTACATTTTACTACATTAGTTTTATCACATTTATCAACACATCTACCCTATATTTAACAATCAAACCCTCTTGTTTTATTCTCACAACTTTTCATTATAAAAAATTTTAAATGCACAAAAAAGTTTAATGAAAAGCACAAGAAAATCCATATAGTGACTCTTTAGATTTGATAGTTGTTAACAGTTTTTGCATCTTTGCTTTATCTGTGTCTATGTGGGTGTGTATATGTGTGTGTCTTTTGTTTTCTGAACCATTTTAAGGCAAGTTGCAGATATAATGGCGTGCTACCCCTGATAATTGAGCATGCATCTCCTAAAAGAATTATGATTGGAGAATTTGGGGCAGAGTAATGACCTGATTCGACTTACTTTTTAATAGCTTTCCTCATTGCTGATGTGTTCAGCGTACACTGAAGGGAGTTGGGGGAAAACTCAAGAACCTGTAGGTTAGTGACAGGTGTTTTATCAGGTTCCGTGGCTGCCAGAGGAAGTCTAGGCTGTTCCTCCTCCATGCTCTCACATGGATCAATGAATAAGCTATAATAGAAGATTAAAGGCCTTGAATCTTCTACCCGAGTCTGTTCCTGTCCCCTTTCAGCCACCTTGATTTTCTTTTCTTTTTTCTTTTTATTTTTTTGGGGAGCAGGGGATGATACTGGGGATTGAACTCAGGGGCACTCGACCACTGAGTCACATCCCCAGCCCTATTTTGTATTTTCTTTAGAGATAGGGTTTCACTGAGAGGCTTGGCAAGTCTCGCTTTTGCTGAGGCTGGCTTTGAACTCACACAATCCTTCTGCCTCTGCCTCCCAAACTGCAGGGATTACAGGTGTGCACCATTGGCTTGGCCCACTGTGATTTTCTACTTCAATACTGCTTGCAGCTTTTAATGYTACCTGGACTTTGAGCAGCTTTCCCAATGCAGGTGGAAAACAGTCATCTAATAGATGGAGAAACTGGGACTGAGAAAGAACTCCTTCACATTCTATGGAGGAAATGTGGTCCAGAGCAGTCCACACTCACTTCCTTCTCATTTCTTCACACACGTTTACTCAATTGCAACTTTTGTGGCTCTCATCAGGGATCACCACATTCTGTTGATTCTAACTCCTTAACCTCAGTGTGAGTGTCGAGAGCCACAGTTTAGTCAGTCGGAATGACTCCTGGCATTTTGCCAGAGGGAATGGTTGAAAGGTGACCCTGCTCTGGAATAGGGCGGATCCTGCTGCCTCAGGCGACCGCTATTTTTTGGAATTCCCGTTGAGTTCTCCCGGGATTCCAGGAGAATTGGCGCATGGAGCCCGGTGGAGGGAGTGTTGTTCCTGAGAAGTGTGTGTAGAGTGCTGGTGAGAGTTTGGGAATAAAGAGTTGCTGTTTGAACCTACAAGGCTGTGTGGCAGCTCGGTTATTTTGTGCCCAGCCATGCTGCGGCATGTGAGTGTCAGTGTCCTCTTCACCTTCCCTGTTAGAGTGCTTCAGCTCAGACCCACACCAGAATTTCTCATATACAATCACTCTTTGGT